CTTGGAGGTCGTTAATCTTAATATTTCTTACTAATATTTCAAATCCTTCTAATCAGCAATCTACTTTTGTTAGAATGAAAATCAAACTTGAATTAACTTGCTAGTTAAAAAAAGTGAAAGAGGATGATATTGATAAATGAACATAAAGAGAGATGCATGAATAGGTTAAATTTTGCAGTGGTTGATGAAGATGCAGGTATGGGAGTTGTTTAAATGTTAAAGCTGCTGATAAATGACCTGAACTACCCAAAGATAAAATCCCACATTAAAATGGAAAATGACTTTTACTCTCAATCCTGCTAACATTAAATGTTGCCTCAATGTACTCATTAAAATTAAAAAAACAAAGAACAAATAGAGGGGAGGCCTTAGCTTAGGGTACTTCAGGGCAGGCTGCAAAACCCAATGCCTAGCCATTGTAGACAATTACAACCTGCAAGTATAATTTCAGTACCGAAATAAAATATCATATTAAAATATTTTCGTATTATAATCGTATTTTCTTTTCATGCTAATGTTGAACACGAAGGTAATCGAATGAGAGTATGCAGGTAGACTATCTGGAAATGTTGTGATGACAGGAAATGTTCTCCTTAATGGAAAGAAGAGGCTAGACTACGGTAGTGTCGTAAGTACCGTAAAGATTTTTTTTTTTTTTTGGACAACAAGAAATTGAACTTCCCTGAAAATTTTGGCTATTCAATGAAGAGTTACCTGTTGTGAAATTTCAGGCTTATGCGACTCAACAGGACATACTTTTGGGAACTCTAACAGTGAGAGAGACCATAACTTACTCCGCTCAGTTGAGGCTACCATCATCATTGAACAGAAAAGATATTGATGACATTGTGGAGGGAACAATTGTTAGATTTGGCTTGAAATTAAGTTGGCAAGTTGGAAATTTCATCTTGGTTGGTAGCCAACTTATTAGAAATTTCATCTTGGTTGGTGGCCAAACTTTGAATATGGGAATTTCATATTCGGTGACTAACTTGTACACATTGGAAAATTCTTTGGTAGGTGGCCAACTTATTTTTCATGTTTGATCCCTAAAATATTAGGTTATTTATAAGTTTAGTCCTTAAAACTCAACTATAAATAGGCCTAAGTATTTCATTAGAAATCATCCTAAAAACAAGTTCTCTCTTCCTCTTGTATTCTTCATTCTCCCACTTTGGGAATTCTAAAGAATTCCATTTGTTGTAATATTGGAGATATAGTGAAGTTATCATCCGGTGTGGTGCCCGAGGAGTAGACGATATTCTCGTCGAACCTCGTAAATTTGGTGTGTTCTCTCCTTTATTGTTTTTATTCGGTTTTTTCAATTGTGTTTCAATATTCAATAGTTTGACAGGTTTATCCGCTGTGCAACCTTTGGTGGTTTTGATCTTGACATTCTAGGTCAATTTTGAAACTATATTTGTGTGGGAAATAACCCGATTTCCACAAAAATTGGCATCAGAGCTTCGGTTGAGGTTATCATGGTGGTTCTGCTGCTGAAAAAAATATAGTTCATGATATTGAATATTGTTCGTTAGAATCAAAATGCCAAAATACGGATCAATTGAGACATCAAGCTCTTAATCCGGACCGGTGAGGAGGATGATGTCAAATGCAAATTTCTCGGTGGAGTTGTTCGATGGATCCGATCATTTTAGCATGTGGCAAGGCGAGGTGTTAGATGCTTTATTCCAACAATGTATAGACATCGTCATTGAGGAAGAAAAGCCCGAATATATGGAGGAGAAAGAATGGGGAACAATCAATCATTTGGCGTGTAGAATGATTCGATATTGTCTTTCCAAGGAGAAGAAGTATGGCTACAAGAACGAGACTTCTACAAGTAAGATGTGGAAAGCATTGGAGGAAAAATTTCTAAAGAAAAGCTCTCAAAATCGTCTCCACATGAAGAAAAGATTGTTTAGATTTGATTATCAACCAGGCACCAGTATGAATGAACACATCACTGCGTTCAATGAGCTAGTGGCAGACTTATTGGGCATGAATGAAACCTTCAAAGATGAAGATTTAGCCTTGATGTTGTTGTCATCTCTTCCAGATGAATTTGAGCACCTTGAGACAACGTTACTTCATGGTAAGGATAATGTTACCCTTAAAGATGTAACTGATGCTTTGTATAGTTATGAGCTCAGGAAAAAAACCAAGAAGGAGAGCAAGTACGAAGCAGCGGAGGCCATGGTGGCAAGAGGTCGCTCGAAAAGTCAAAAGCCAAAGTGGAGAGGGAGATCAAAGTCAAAGTCCAGACTGGGTAAAGATGAATGTGCCTTTTGTCATAAGAAAGGCCATTGGAAGAAAGATTGTCCGAAGCTGAAGAAGAAATGAAAAGCTGCTCCAGATACATGTGTTGCAGAGCATGATGCAAATGACTCTGACATATCATTGGTTGCTTCATCAACAACATTTCATTCAGATGAATGGATATTAGATTTGGGTTGCACCTATCATATGTCCCCTAATCGGGAGTGGTTCTCTGATTTAGTAGAACTAAATGCAGGAGTTGTTTATATGGGCAATGACAATGCCTGTAAAACTGTTGGGATAGGTTCAATTCGATTGAAGAATCAAGATGGATCAACCAGAGTTCTGACGGATGTCAGATACGTGCCCAGTTTGAAGAAAAATCTCATCTCGTTAGGAGCCTTGGAATCCAAAGGCTCAGTAGTCACTATGAGAGATGGAGTTTTAAAAGTCACATATGGCGCACATGTGATGATAAAGGGCATCAGGAAAAATAATTTGTATTACTACCAAGGTAGTACAATTATTGGAGCAGTTGCAGCAGCTTCCGGAGGTAATGATTTGGACGCAACCCAGTTGAGGCATATGCGGTTAGGACATGCTGGAGAAAAATCCTTGCAAATTCTGTCAAAGAAAGGATTGTTGAAAGGTGCAAAGGCTTGCAAATTGAACTTTTGCGAGCATTGTGTTCTGTGAAAGCAGAAGAGAGTGAAGTTTGGCACCACTATACATAATATAAAAGGTATTGTGGATTATATTCACTCAGATGTATGGGGCCCTTCAAAGACATCGTCTTTGGGAGGAAACCATTATTTTGTAACTTTTGTAGATGACTTTTCCAGAAGAGTTTGGGTGTATCCGATGAAGTCTAAAGATGAAGTGCTTTGAATTTTCCTGAAATGGAAAAATATGATCGAGAACCAGACTGGTAGAAAGATCAAATGTCTTAGGACGGACAATGGAGGGGAATATAAAAGTGACCAATTCTTTGACGTTTGCCATGAGTATGTTATTGTTCGACACTTCACTGTTAGAAATACACCACAACAGAATGGGGTGGCAGAGCGTATGAATCGAACATTATTGGAGAAAGTTCGATGTATATTGTCTAATGCTGGGTTAGGCAAGGTATTTTGGGCTGAGGCTGTGACATATGCTGGCAATCTCATCAATCGTCTGCCGTCATCAGCGATAGGAGGAAAAACACCATTGGAGGTATGGTCTGGAAAACCTGCTACTGATTATGATTCCTTACATGTATTTGGATCCACTGCTTATTATCATGTGAAGGAATCCAAGCTTGATCCGAGAGCAAAGAAGGCTCTCTTTATGGGAATCACCCGTGGAGTGAAGGGATTCCACCTTTGGTGTTTAGACACCAAGAAGATAATTTGTAGCAGAGATGTTACCTTTGATGAAGCTGCCCTAGTAAATAAGGTAACAAATAAAGCTATCCAGACAAGTAGTACTCCATAGCAGGTGGAGCATACTCCAAAACAGGTGAAGTTTCAGTAGACGATGATCCCAGAAGTTGATGCAGCTGATTCTTCAACTCCAATAGAAGAATCAGAAGATGAAGAGGTTCAAACCCAAGAACCATTGGAGACACCAGAACCATTTGCAGTTACAAGGCCAAGGAGAGAAATTCGTAGACTTGCTCGATCTATTGATATGGTGACCTATGCTTTTCCAGTTGTTGATGATGATATCCCTATCACTTACCAAGAAGCAATACAAAGCTTGGAAAGTGATAAGTGGAAAAGTGCCATGGATGAAGAAATGCAATCTCTCCAAAAGAACAACACTTGGAAACTGACACAATTACCGAAAGGTAAAAGAGCAATTGGATGCAAGTGGATATTTGAAAAGAAATATGGATCTCATAGCAAGAAAGATGTTCACTACAAGACACAGTTGGTAGCTAAAGGCTACGCTCAAAAGGAGGGAATCGACTACAATGAAGTATTTTCCCCTATTGTGAAGCATTCCTCCATTAGAATATTGTTGGCCTTGGTAGCACAGTTGAATTTGGAGCTAGCTCAACTTGATGTAAAGACAGCTTTCTTGCACGGTGATTTAGAAGAGGAGATCTATATGACTCAGCCAGAATGATACAAAGATGGTGGTCGTGAGAAATGGGTTTGTAAGCTGAACAAATCACTATATGGATTGAAGCAATCTCCGAGGTAGTGGTACAAGCGATTTGATAGCTTTATGAAGAGGCAAAAGTACACTAGAAGCAAATATGATCATTATGTGTATTTGCAAAAGCTCAAAGATGGATCTTTCATTTATGTTCTCTTGTACGTTGACGATATGTTGATCTCTTCGAAGAGTCAAAAGGAGATAGACAAATTAAAGGCTCAGTTGAATCAAGAGTTTGAGATGAAAGATCTAGGTGAGGCCAAGAAGATTCTTGGTATGGAGATAAGCAGAGATAGACAGAGAATGAAGCTTTGTTTAACACAGAAACAATATCTGAGAAAGATATTACAATGTTTTGGCGTGAATGAAAATATCAAACATGTAAGTATCCCACTGACTTCTCATTTGAAACTTAGTTCTCAATTATCTCCTAAGACTAACGAAGAACGAGAGTATATGGAAAAAGTTACATATGCTAATGCAGTTGGGAGCTTGATCTATGCAATGGTGTGTACGCGTCCTGACATTTCACAAGCAGTTGGAGTTGTGAGCAGGTACATGCATGATCCTGGAGAAGGACATTGGCAAGATGTGAAATGGATTATACGGTATCTCTAACAAACCGTGGATATTGGTTTAGTTTTGAACAGGATGAAGCACTTGGTCAGTGTGTGGTTGGATATGCTGATTCCAATTATGCTGGTGATTTGGATAAGCGTCGATCAACTACTGGGTATTTGTTTACTCTTGCTAAAGCCCCAGTAAGTTGGAAGTCTACATTGCAATCTACGGTGGCCTTGTCTACTACAAAGGCATAATACATGGCAGTTTCAAAGGCTGTAAAGGAAACAATTTGACTTAACGGGTTGATGGAAGACTTGGTAGTTGTTCAAAGTCACATTAGTCTCTATTGTGACAGTCAGAGCGCTATTCACTTAGCGAAAAATCAAGTCTATCATTCAAGGACTAAGCATATCGACGTGAGGTATCACTTTGTGCGAGAGATCTTTGAAGAATAAAAATTCTACTTTAGAAAATTGCGACATCAGAAAATCATGCAGATATGATGACCAAGGTGGTAACAGTAATCAAGTTCAATCATTGTTTGAACTTGATTAACATCCTGAAAGTATGAACACCTTCGGGTGTGTGGCGCTTGTGAGCGCAATTAGAGGCCATACAAATTTGGAGAGTTGAAGAAGTTGAGTAGGCTTGGTAATTGCAAGCCAAGGTGGAGATTTGTTAGATTTGGCTTGAAATTAAGTTGACAAGTTGGAAATTTCATCTTGGTTGGTAGCCAACTTATTAGAAATTTCATCTTGGTTGGTGGCCAAACTTTGAACATGGGAATTTCATATTTGGTGGCTAACTTGTACACATTGGAAAATTCTTTGGTAGGTGGCCAACTTATTTTTCATGTTTAATCCCTAAAATATTAGATTATTTATAAGTTTAGTCCTTAAAACTCAACTATAAATAGGCCTAAGTATTTCATTAGAAATCATCCAAAACAAGTTCTCTCTTCCTCTTGTATTTTTCATTCTCCCACTTTGGGAATTCTAAAGAATTCCATTTGTTGTAATATTGACGATATAGTGAAGTTATCATCCGGTGTGGTGCCCGAGAAGTAGACGATATTCTCGTCGAACCTCGTAAATTTGGTGTGTTCTCTCTCCTTTATTGTTTTTTATTCGGTTTTTCCATTGTGTTTCAATATTCAATAGTTTGACAGATTTATCCGTTGTGCAACCTTTGGTGGTTTTGATCTTGATATTTTAGGTCAATTTGAAACTGCGTTCGTGTGAGAAATAACTGATTTCCCCAACAACAATCACAGAAATAGGTCTCCAAGAGTGTGCCGATCGGCTTATCGGAAACTGGCACCTACGCGGCATAAGGGGGGGGGGGAGAAGAAAAGGCTAAGCATTGCACTCGAAATCCTCACCAGGCCTCATCTCTTGTTTCTTGATGAACCTACAAGTGGCCTAGACAGTGCCTCGGCGTTTTTTGTGATACAAACTCTTAGGAACGTTGGCCGTGATGGCAGGACTATCATCACCGCAATCCATCAGCCGAGAAGCGAGGTTTTCTCGCTTTTTGATGATCTGTTTCTACTCTCTGGTGGAGAACAAGTTTACTTTGGGGAGGCAAAAATGGCTGCAAAGGTAGTGAAACAACATAAATATCTCAACAATGTCATCAAACTTGTTTGCAGATAATAGTGTTTCATCACATATAATTGAATTAAATTCGTTCATTTCTACTTACAAAATTGAATTTGCTGTTCTTTGCTGAAGTAGGATTCCCATGTCCGAGTCGGAGAAATCCTTCGGATCACTTCCTTCGTTGCATAAATTCAGATTTTGACATTGTAGAAGAGACTCTGAAGGAATCTCACAGAATGACCGTAAGCATTTCATTCTTCATTTTCCAAGGAGATAACAACATAGACATTTCCCCATGTAGCAGTCACTTGGTTTCCCTGCATTTTTCCAAAATTTATTTTCTCAGTATTTAACAGACAACAAAATATATGTAGTATCATAGTTTTGTGAAACAATTTCACATTTTAAACAAGGAACAGGGAAGTCATAAATCTGATTTTCAGGCCATGCACGTCTGATAAAAGCATGGTTAAATATGTTTTTCATTTATGAACTGCAGGAACTTCAAAACACATTAGATCCTTTGACAAGCCTAACAACAGCACGGATAAAAGCATTGCTCGTTAAGAAATACAGAAGCTCAGATTATGCGGCAAAGGCGAAAGCGAGAATCCGAGAAATTTCGACCATTGTAAGCATTTCGAACATAGTCATGGACCATTGTAAGCCTACGGTTCCTTAGATTTTTCTTGCTCATATTTCAGGAGGGACCCGTTATTGGGGAAAAACACAGCAGTGAAGCAAAATGGTTGAAACAACTATCTACTTTGACAAAGAGGTCCTTTGTAAACATGTCCAGAGATTTGGGATATTACTGGTTAAGGATAGGAATCTATGTGGCCTTATCTATTTGTGTTGGCTCTATTTTCTTCGACATTGGAACAAACTACAATGCAATCTTAGCTTGGGGAGCATGCGGCGGTTTCTTATCAGGTTTCATGACATTCATGTCCATAGGAGGCTTCCCATCCTTCATTGAAGAACTCAAGGTGAGTAATCTCATTGAAGAACTAATGATACTAAAAGCTTTCAATAACTCCTTTTTTTCTTCTGTTCGGTGTTCTATCATAGGTTTTTCATCGGGAAAGGCGCAATGGACATTATGGGGTTGCTGTTTATATACTGTCAAATTTTCTCTCCACATTTCCATTCTTGACTGTGATGTCCCTTGCTACTGCATCAATTACCTATTACATGGTGAAACTCCGGCCCAGAATTTCGCATTTCATGTATGTCGCACTTGATCTCATTAGCTCCATTGCAACTGTAGAGAGCTGCATGATGATGATAGCATCATTAGTTCCCAACTTCATGATGGGAGTCATAATTGGAGCCGGTTTTATAGTAAGAACTATAATTTTTTAACAAATTTTTAGAGCTCCATCATTAATGTCATCAATTAATTCTTCCTTTTTCCATTTACACAGGGTTTACTGATGATGACAGCCGGATATTTCCGAACGATGCCAGATCTCCCAAAGATATTCTGGCGTTACCCTGTTTCATATATCAACTATGGCGCGTGGGCGTTACAGGTAAATTTTCATTGGAATGCAGAAATGTCCCAATGAAACAATGTGAATTGACTTTCTATGAAATGGAGAATGCAGGGTGCATACAAGAATGATATGGTCGGGCTCGAGTTCGATGGCTTCATACCTGGTGGTCCAAAACTAAAAGGCGATGTCGTCCTCACGACCATGCTCGGCATCAACCTGGAGCATTCAAAGTGGTGGGATTTAGCAGCTGTTATAATGCTTTTGATAACATATAGATATCTTTTCTTTATCATACTCAAGTTCAAGGAGAGAGTCTCGCCTTTGTTTCGGACTCTTTATACGAAGCGAACGATACAACACTTGAAAAACCGACCTTCTTTTAGGAAAACATTAGCCTTCCCATCCAAGAGGCACCAGGTTCTACATTCATTGTCTTCTCAGGAGGGCCTAAACTCTCCAATTCTTTAGAAGAATCAACAAATCAAGAGTACCGTAGCAGCATTTCTTACGAAAACATGGATATCAGCTTTATTTATTCTTCTTGAGCGACTTTCCTTGCTTCTTACCCGATAGGATAAACAGATACAAAAAAAGGTCCCATTGTTCTTAGTGTATTTTGTCTGAAAAATGCTGTAGCAGAACAATATCTTAACATCTAATGATACCACTTTGTTTATGTGTACTATTATTATGTTCTTGTGTTTTTTGCAGTGCTGATGCATGAATTACCCAAGTGCTAACGAAAACTGTAGGTTCAAAGTCCCAAAGATGGATTAAACCGGATTCTTTATAGTTTTTCTTTTCAGAATTTGGATAGGTATTGTACAGGTAATATCCATGTTCCATCTTTTTCTACCATTGCTTTGTGTCCTGCCAGCCCTAATAATAGTCGAGCAATCCACATAATCACACTTACCTTGGGATCTCGACAATTTTAGTGATCTGCATTTAAAAACAGAGTTAAAATTGAATTCAAAGAATCGGTTGTGTGAGGATAACTGTATAAATCTTACTTAAACATCTAAAAAATAATATAAAAAATATATGTATATATCTTATATTGTTAAAGAGTCGTTCAAAATAGAACTAATATCGTAACATTACAAATAATTTCATTCAAATTTGAACATAGACTTAAACAAATAAATTCAATTCGACCCAAAAATTTACAAATAAAATTTAAATGATAAAATAATACTCGTAAACTTGACCAACTCAATAGAATACCGACCCATAATAACACAGAACCTGCAGCAATACTATACTAAACCAATACCGAAACAATAGCAAAAACTCCAAAACCCTTGGCAATGGAACCAATAAGACTCCTAACAACCTGAGCACTGGTCGGAAGTAGTAGACACTGGAGTAGAAGTTCGACAGGCCAGTAACCTTCCTTAAGTCTCCACATGTCAACGCGTTAAGGCAAGGCTGATTAAGAAATTGGAGACTAACATCAGTATAAAATGCCTGCTAATTTGAGGGACTGTTTTATATTGCAAGCAGGAAACCAACTTTCTCTCATCTTTAAAGAAAAGTCAGATTTTACAGAACTAATCAATTAACTCAGCAGACCTAATTTCAAAAGTATTAAAGTTAGCATATAAAACAGTCCCTCAAATTAGCAGGCATTTTATACTGATGTTAGTCTCCAATTCAAGCTCACTACTGTTTCTTCTCATTGGCTACACCATTTTCCACTTGGCTGTCAAACCCTCCAATTCACTTTACTCTTCTTTTTCCCTTTTCTCGACGTTTTCGTTACCCAGACATTATTGTTTTTCTTCTTAGACTTCTTTGTTGTCTTGGCTTTTGTTGCAGGGGAAGGATTTGATGGGCATTGCCATTATTGTTACTGTTTTCGATAGCAGCGTTGGAGGGGTTATCATCGTTGATTGCGGGTACTGAATTAGGATATTGAGGAGCTGTTAAAGACGACAGCTGTTTTTGCTTTTTGGGTAGAGGTTCTTCATCGTCTTCTAATTCGTCGTAGCTCCGGGGAGCTTTAAGCGGGTTTTGGGTGTCATCGGAGGCAGTCGTTGTTCTCTTTTAATGGAACAGACTCATATTTTATATAATTATTTTATGTAACCAATTGAAACGTATCATTGACAAGTTTGTCAACCTAATTATGAAGCATCGATAAGATAAGATTGCAGATATCAGAATTCGATATATCAATAAAATATATTCAGCACAATCTGATGAAACAGAATAATTTTAATGATCAAATTAAATTAAATTAAATAAAACAATAACTCGTATTATATGTAGGTTTCTCACGATTTTACATTACATTGTTGATCTCAATGTTCATCCCAACCATGCAATTACTTCACCCTTCCTACACTCCCTTAACTTGATGTTCATAACACTCATGCCAGACATGTTCATAATATTGCAGCATTCGATTTTTCCGGGCTGAAAAAACCAGAGAGAAATCGATTAATAAGAACGAATTTTAAAGATAATTTATGTTACCGAGATTGTTCACTACTTGTGTCCGATACAAACCTGCTTACGAACCGATGCGTTTGAAGACACACGAATCCTGAGGACGTCATCGGCGGTATGGTTTCCGGAGAAGAAACAGGGTGGTAACTTACATCGAGCTCTTCACCTATACGTAGAGAACTAAGGAATCCCCCTTCATTCTCCCAACGTTCTCCATGAACAATACATGAGGAGCTTGACACAGATCGTTTGTGACCAACCTGGTGTTGAACGTATACAATGGAGGCGGACCATTCTTCCAGGGTTTAAATGTCTCCAGGGGTCTCTTCAGAATACTTCGAGGGGTGATACTTTCATATATATGAACCGAATAACCCCACGAGACCGAGATGGACCAGTTCTTTTGGTTGTCGTAGCATATTGTTTGCTGCACTAAACGTTATTGATCGACTTTGGCTGCTTGCATGAGATGTTTTACTGCGTCAGTTCGGTTCTTGTTGGGGAATATTGGGTCTATGTTGTCGAAATGGTGAAGCGTAATGATTGGTGATGGTGGATGAGCCAATAGCATGCCTGATATATCACCGAGAAGATCAACCTGCAGCTTATAACATCACAATAAGAAATCTTGGATAACAGAAAGCTCCGTAGATGCTACTATTGTGTCACCTCTAGCAAGTATCCAACAAACCCTGATTGGGGCAAACCCAGGTTACATTTGACAACCAAATTGTTACCAATTCAGTTTGGTTTCGGCCAAACTGATCTAAACCCGGGTTTGATATCATCAAATTGTTATTTTAGTACGGAGATGGTAGAATTCAAACCTCTAATCTATGTGATGCAATCAAATTGGAGATGGTAGAATTCAAACCTCTAATCTATGTGATGCAATCAAATTGTAATTAGTTCAGTTGGGTGGTTAAACCCAACTGAACTAAACTCGAGTTTTACTCAATTGATTGGTTGCAGATGTTGAAATTCGAATCTATCCATATCAACCCAAATCGGACTAATAAGAAAAAAGGATGCAAATGTTGGGATTCAAATCCTAAATCTACCAGGTCACCTACACCCCAATTAGGCTATCATACGGAAAATGAAAGATATTATAGATACTTCTGTAGACAACCGTTTTTGTCCGGGTCGAAAAAACATTAAATTGTTATTATTATATATTATTGTTATTATTATTACATGTTTGTAGGCCCAGAAAGAACCCATTACAAGCCCAAACAAAAGCCAAGGAAGGTCCAACCCGAATTGAGCCCCAGCAACCCGACCCGTTCCATATTTGAAATTAGGGTTTCTAAACCCTAAATCTATCAACAGCCGCCGCCAGTGACGATTCAACTTCCAGCCTCGCTTGCACCGACGAGTCACCAAGCCAAGTCATCGTCGAGCCATCAACATCGCTATCCTTATCAAAGTCGTCCGAACAGTGAACAAATAAAGGAAAGTCAGCAAATAAATCAATTAGTTTACCTAATCCACGACTAAATTCAATAAAGCAACCACTAAAGGAGATTTGGTGAGAGATTAAAGGGGCGTCTCGAACCAGAGCATTGGCGAGAGAGCAGAAAATCCAAAGAAAAAAGGCAGATTCATTCGAGAGAAAAAAAAATCGAAAACGATAAAAAAACCGAGAGATCAGTTTCAAAGAGAGTAAAAAAAGACCGAACCAAATACAAAACCAAACACCGAAAAACAAAGAGAAAATAAAATAGAA